GGACCACATTCAAGGAAAAAATGAGGAGTTGGAAAGTACCAAGACATGGCCGGCCACTTTCCAACTTGAAGTCTGTATAATTATTAAAACATATCTATGGCCCCGAAACCTGAAGCAATGTGGAAGACGGCCCCTGGAGAAGGATTGGCCATTTCGAGCACAAGGTTCTCATACCGACGGCTTGTCGTACTTTGGTCCATATGCCTAATCCAAAGCAAAAAGGAAAAATATTCGAGATATGTAAAATTTTCTGCTAAGATATTTGCCCTTGCGAGATTCAGTGAAGCGGAATCAAATTCCTTTCCCTTCTTCGCTCCCTTTTCCATTGTTTTCTTTTCATTTTCATGGAGATGTATCAGCATATGAAATGAAAGTGTGCCCAAGCCATTTTCTCAAAAAGCTAGGGAGGGACAAATGAGTTTCCTGGTTTGTTTAGGCTTGAAGTGTTATAAATTATGAATAAATTGAACTCAGGTCCAACACCTCTCCCTCTGCTCGGCAATCTCCATACAATCTTCGCCCACGAGCCCGGATATGGTGCGTTTGAGATGTGGCGGAAGAAATATGGTCCAGTCTACACCTACTGGATCGGTAAAAGAAATTTTTGGTTTTCCCTGTTGCTATCACTGGTTTTCGAAAATGTTCTCGCTTAGGCAATATCCCATTCGTGATGGTGAGCGATTACAAGACACTGAAGGAGACTTTTGTCAAGGATGGTGACGCATACATTGGAAAATTCCATTTCGAAGAAACTACCAAAGAATACCGAGGCAAGAGCGACTTCGTAAGCTTGTTGCAAACGCTTTTACATTTATATATGAATTCCTTCCGTTATTTAGAGCAATACTTAGTACCTAGTTTTTCTCCACGTGTCCGACTTCTTCCGGAATTTTTCGTTACTCAAAGGGTAAAGGATAAGGATAAAGCATTTGCCGTTGATCAATCCCTTTTTGGGATGCGGCACGCATTCTACTTCCATTTGTACATTCGTAGTGGCGTTTGAATGCGATGTGGCCTATACAATGACTTGCGGGGGCCAGCCGATGTACAAGTCAGTGTTTTTATCCTCCCAGACAAGTCTGGTACCAATTAACCCCGGAGGGATGGAAGGCTTGGTTGGCCCGGGCGACTCAGATTTGATCCCCGGACCGCTCGCGTGGTAAGCGTGCCACTTGCCACTACACCACTTCCGCCCTACCTATAGAAATATATTAT